CAGATCTGCAAGGGACTCTAATTAAACGCATTAATTGCCCTAATCTTCTTAGGCAAGTAATAAATTGGAAGAGCTGATTAATGCACTGGATTTAGTTCAGCTTGTTAAATCTGACACCCTGGCAAGGGAAGACTATCTTGAAAAGCTCTTTTAGCTAAGTAATTGATATTTTACTCTCAGTAATTTGCTGTTCCATAATAATAGCCATTTAGGATATTGATTCCTCAGTTTTTTTAATGCATGTTAGTTATATTTAAAGAGTATCATTATGATGCTCATAAAGATTACAAAAAAATATGAACTTTGACCTTTCCTGCCCACAAAGAGTCCCTTTCACTCTGAACACAAATTAGTGCATTTCCTTGTAGGCTATAAATCCTAATTAATTTTAATTCTAGAAGCTGCTAATAACCTTTTATAAAGTCCATACGGGCACATTAAGTACTCCACACAACTCATAAAGCCAGCAACTAAATCAGTTTTTAAACAGTAAATGACGGCTAGAATACACTGAAACATTGTGTCTACACTGGGCCTCAATTTCTCCTCTCCTTTTTAATCTATTTACACAAACACGCATGCTCAATCCCTGGCAAGGCAGCAGTAGAAACATGCTTGTGATAGCAATCATGTTTTTAGGTACCGAGATAGTAATAGTATCAGCATTTAAGTTTGCATATTAATTCTAAGCTTCATTTAACAGTTATAATATCTTTAAAATAACATCCCATAGGTTTAGGAGCCAGGGCTTACCCAGCCTCACCTGCTGGGACACACCAAAGGAAGCAAGACAGAGGGAAAATCTGGGAACCTGCAGCTACAGAATTTAAAGGGCTGCTTTCACTCCAACTTGTTTATTATTCCTAGCTTATCACACTGAAAAGAAAGATGCATTGAGCCTCACTTGAAAATAATAAACAGAAGTGGATAAGCTATCAGAAATCTTCTACGCCACAGAAAGATTCTGCACAGAAGGTAAATAAAAAAAAAAAAAAAAAAAAGAATTGAAAGGGCTGCTTTCACTCCAACTTGTTTATTATTCCTAGCTTATCACACTGAAAAGAAAGATGCATCGAGCCTCACTTGAAAACAATAAACAGAAGTGGATGAGCTATCAGAAATCTTCTATGCCACAGAAAGATTCTGCACGGAAGCACAGAAGGTTAAAAAAAAAAAAAAAATCTAAGTATTCCATGAAACCCAAACAGTTCCTCAGATGTCCTATGAAATGCAGAAGTGAATGATATCTTTCATATGAAGTATCTTAGGGAGTCTTATATATTCTGAATTGAACTTGGACTGAAACTCCCTCCAGCACCTCAAAAGACATCTTTACATTCCCATACTGTACCTCTCAGAGGCATCACTTCATACTTCTTCTCTAACACTGCTAAGCTCCCCCTTCTAAATCTGAAATTTATTACTCTTCTGCAAAATACTAGCACTTACACCTGCTGAAAACTTCAGTCATGGTGAACCTAAAGTTTGTCCCTGGTTCCTCAGTGCAAAGCAGCATCAAAGGAGGCTGTCAACCGAACAATCATTTTAAACCACCAAATGATTTTCATAATTGAACTATAATACTTACAACAAACAAATGTCAAGAGGATGAACAGAGAATATGAAGGAGCTGATAATTTATGAAATGAGACTGAAAGGACTAACAAGAAAAATTAAAGATAACAAAACTTGGATGTCTCATACCCAGTATTTCCTACCCATTTTGTGTGACAGGATACAGATGGTAGAATTTACTTTTTATTATCCGATTATCAGGGAGCAGTTAATTTTAAACCTCTTTGTTTGAGGTCTTCGGACAAGAGCAGTACTTCCTTACCATTACGATAATAGCCGTTAATTTTAAACCTCTTTGAGGTCTTCGGACAGGAGCAGTACTTCCTTACCATTACGATAAGCACTTACTTAGAGAATACGTTCTTTTAAACCAGGGCTTGATTTTCCTTTCATTGACTGTATCAATGCACAAACAATGTTCTAGGATCGTGTCTGAGGCTCCCTCAAGCTACTACAAGAAATCAAGCATAACTAGTGAGCCTGCTCCAATTCTTCTCCAGCTGATGACATGAATGATTTAAAAGCTTTTAGGATTAGTTAGACAGGTCATAAAAATCATAGGATCCTTAAGGTTCCATCAAAAATTTATCTCCTATGAATTTGGGATTTCTAATACAAATTTTAAGACTTAATATAAGCTACTCAGGATGACAAGAAAATCCCTCAAATTTCATGAGGAGCACAACTGAAAACAGAAGAAAACTGGAATTCTAAACAAACACTTGACTCCATAAGCACAATATGTATTTGTTCCGTGCTGCTGGACACCAACTGTATGACAACTATCCAGTTTGTGACCAACCTTTATACATATGAATTTCATTCCACTGCTTAAAGGCATGACATTGTTGTATCAATGACACAATCCAGTCTGCTAAACGTCAGTACCGAACAGGAGAAGGAAGAGTGGAACCGATGAAAGCAAATCCTAAGTTACAGAATCCTTGACAGCAAGATTCAGACCAGGGGCATGATTAACGTGTCAGGAGTAAAATGTCAATGACTACAATTCCCATGCTGGGTTCAGTCTCATGAAAAAGAACCATGTATTATTAAACAGGAAAGTAGAATACTCAGTTCACCTCTCAATTGATGAATTGTTCATATTTTTACAACACATCACAAAATTTTCTTCTGAAATTTGAATTAAATTATGGAAATCCTCAGTAGGCATTAGATCAGATAGAACAGCTAGATATGCTGCTACTGGGAAGTGCAGTAGAACCAGAATGAAATCATGGACACCAAAGAAATTACCTTTGCATTTATTATTTATTGTTCAGTTTCAGATAAAGGGACTACTACTCTTTCTGAAAAACTCAAATCACATTAAAAGGTAGAGTCTCATTCTGCAGAGCAAACTGCAGAAGATGCATGGCCCTCCTTTTTCTTCTGCAGACTCTCTCCAAAGAAAACAGCACTTTTTGACCAAAAAAGCTATTTTATACATCTTCTCAGCACTTTTCTACCATGTTTCTCCAGGCAATACAAAACTTAGCTTCATCATTTTCTATCAACATTAAAGACTAAAATCCTGACAAACACATGACAGTCTTGTCTTTGAACATGCTCTGTATTTAGGTTTCCATGTTACCACGTTTCCCAAATGCACCAAAAATAAAGTCAAGTGCATGCTTATAATCTTCTAAAAGAGGTAAACAAAACAAAACAAACAACAACGAAAAAAACCCACACATTTCTACTGACCTATCTTATTTTCTGCAAGTTTCTGAGCTCCACAGCCTTAAAATTCAAGCATGGAAAAGATGGTGCTTACCCAAGAACCTTTGACAAAATTTCATTAAACAAAGTTCCAATTACGACCGATTCTTGAGTAATATTTGTAAAATTAGAGAGGCTGATAATGAACATAGCATTCCCCATCCAAAACATTCTTCTGGATAGCACAGTATTTATCCATTCTTACAAACACTTAGTGCACATAATCTACACTAAAAGCAACCTTTTTTGAAGCAAATGCTTCTGATGTTACCTAAACATTATTTTTACTTTTAAAGTAGTAAGCAACAACTTAGGTATATTTCAGCTATGCTTGTGCATAATTCATCTTACTTCCAGATTAGATATTTGGGCTTTAAACTGCTTTTAGCCAGATTGTTTTTAGGTTAAGTATCATTATTTCAGATCCTCACCCAAATGTTCAGAGTGGTACAAATACAGCTCATAATTTGGAAAGCTACAGTTTCTTGAAAACATTTTGACACCTCATTTCACATACCCTCTTGAACCGCAGATGAACTATCATTCCTACTAAAGAAGGAGGCCAAATACTCTAAGGCTTAATTCCATTACTCTCATACAATCTATTAAAATTCAAACATACATTGCCATTTTAAAAAAAATTACATGAAGTCTGACAGAACCATTTACTTACAAATATTAGGCAATTAACTTACCTTCTGATCTAAAATATGTTTTCTAAATTCCTGAGTTTAGAATAACTGACAGATAACAAAATGATATTTAGGCATATAGCTAAATTTCATGCCAGGACAGAACCATATTAGTTCTAGTGGACCTAATGAGGCACGTAAGCAGGCTTTTAATTTCTTTATCATGTAGGATTTGTAAGGAGACCAGGAAGATGTGACCTCTATGTTCAAACCTTTACATCAGCAGAACTGAAGCTCTTAAATTTTGACCTTTAATATAGGATTTTACTTCTGCTATTTTTTTTAATAATTGTTCTGAACATTTTTCTGAGATGCATTTCATTGCAGCAGTAACTTCTTCCTTATGGTACATCCTTTACATCTGAAAAGTCCACTTAGTGTGTTATCAAAGTGTGGAAAAGATTTTCCTTCTTTCTGACAACCTAACAGCAAATTCATGACAGAGTGATGCTGAAAGATATTTTGCTAATGATAATTCATTTTACTTCATCATAGGTAAAGGGAACTTTTCACTAGTAAGTACACATACGTATCCTCTCTAGTATGCAGATATCCACACAAGACTCAAAAGTTCATGAAACTGTACAACAAAAAGCAGTATCACATTTTACAAACACAGAAATCAGACCCTACCAATCTCTCTAACTCCTGCTCCACATGCAAGGCATGCTTCAAAACAAAACAACACCGAACTAAAGCTGTATGCATGAACAAACACTATGTTACATGAAAAATTCTCTTGAATTGAGGGATACAAAGAATAGACCGAAGGTGACAGACTGACCAATTCCATTTAGTGCAAGGCACACTGATGCAATCGAGGAAAATAACAGAAGATAAAGGGAAAAGTGTAGCAAGGGCAATACATTTCTGCTGCTAGGCAAGCCCCTTCAAAAATTAAACATCTGTTACATGCTTAGGTTTAATTACTCTATTGTATAAAATTAGGCTATTAATTCCTTACAGCCACATAACTTTGTGAAGAAAGGAATGCCATCACCATAAACTTACTTTTGTATTACATTCTGTAAGCTGAGCATCATACCCAGTTCACTTTTCATCTTTTCTCTGTTGGCACGGCACTCTGCCAAGTAGCGGAGAGCCTAAAAAAAGCAAGCACAGCAATTAAATAGCATTTGCAGTCTGCTAAGAGTCACGTTAGCACATACCTGAAAGACTTTCACATCAGTTCTTGTAAAAGAACTTAAAATTATTATCTACTGCAAACATTAAAGGTAAACCTATTTTCATAAACACACCAAAAGTTTATGATATCTAATACATGAGACAAAGTTGAGAGACTGAGTTTGTTTAAACAGATTAAAGGAGGGTAAGGAACGATCTAACAGCTGCCTACAGCTACTTGAAGAGCCCTTACAAAGGTGACAAAGCCAAGTTTTCTTAAAAAGCAAGAGAAAATGTAACAAGGATGAAGAGCCACAAATTGCAGCTTGGGAAGTTCAGGGCAGACATTAGGAAATAACTTTTTCTGCTATGAGGGTAGTGAAGCACTAGAGTGGATGACTGAACAAGATTCTGCAATCCTGTTGGCTTCATTATTGCAGAATCTCTAAAGTTTTCAAAGCTTACTAAGGCACTGCTGACTTGATCCAGTTTTGGCAAATGCCCCACTTTCAGCAGGCAGTTGGACGAAATGACCAAAGTCCCCTCCAACCAGCATTTCTGTGACCTAAAATAATTCTTTATACACTATGCTTCTAGCATAAGTTCTATCAATTCGATGGACTCTTCCAGGACCAGAAACACACACACAAATTAACACTGTCCACAGAAGCAGAGGATTACTGGAACTATTAAAGACTAACTGAAATATTAGAATGATTCAAAGTGAAATGAGTTTACAAAGTTTAAAATACCCACACTACTTGTATTATTCATCATCACTAAATTCAAGGGAAAGAATATAAGCTGAAAGTTACATACTTAAGACTTTGTTCAAAAAAAAAAGAAAAAAAAAGAAAATAACTCATTATCTGCCATTAGGACACTCCTCACTATTAGGAAAAGCATGGACACCACTAAAAGAACAGTGTCTGGACTAACTACATATTTCAAATAAAAATTGTCTTTCCCATCTCTTGTAACTGCAATAATGATATTCTGCGGGCTTTCAAGGAAAGTTTAAAAAAAGCATTGCACAGAATATTCCAAGTATACTCTATCATGGAACAGACACCAGAGGGAAAGAAAATCCACATCTGATAATGAATAGGACCAGCTCAGTACCTCCTGAAATCAGAAACTCCTGGATTATTTTTAGAAAAAAATAGATCAAGGCAGTAGGATGGTAGAAAGATTAATAATAAAAAAAAAAAAGCTTGAGACTGAGAAGCTGAAACATTTTAAATGCACTTTCCCACATGGCTTTTTTCCAAGTTTTTCCTCAAAAAGTTGCAAAGTGAAATATATACCTCATTCTTCATAATTTCTAAACTTCAGATGCAAAAGCAAATTCCAATTAAAATTTATTTTAAATTACCTAGGAAACACCACGCAACAGAAAAAGCCATGACAGCCTGGTCGTGACTAGGATGGCGAAAGAAGTATATATTCAGAAGCACTTTACATCTAACATTTTAATCTCTCAAGTAACACAATGCTAGGAGTTTGGATTAGTGCTGCACTTACTTGACAACCTGTTTGTCCTCTGTTTATTTGTCTTTCAAAGCGGACTTTTCTGCAGAACTTTGCACTGCTGACCCCAGTCAGCAACTGTGTATTAGAATCATAGAATCATTATGGCTGAAAGATCATCAAGCCCAAATGCAAAATTCAAGTGATCCTCCTAGCATAATGCTCTTCCAGATAAAATTTCTTTTCATGAGATATCTCTTTATTCTCAGTGCAGACACACAAATTTTCAAAATTTTCGCCTTTTCTTAGAAGGAACATCCAAATGTGTATTTGGCATTATACTTCAATCATGCAGGCACAAAAACTACAGTACACAAATTCAATGGTTTATGCAATAGCTTTTGTGGTAATAGGGCTCAGAAGTGCACTCAACTCCCAAATAAGGCCAGGATACACACATTGTTCACTGCCTCCTTTAAGAAGAACGTGTCCCTTAATTCCTTGGAAGACAGAGAAATAGTTACCTCTTTTTCTTTCTAATAGAAGTGCACTCAACTCCTAAAAAATGCCAGGATATACACAGTGTTCACTGCCTCCTTTAAGAAGGACGTGTCCCTTAATTCCTTCGAAGACACAGAAATAGTTACCTCTTTTTCTTTCTAAATCATCTCAAGCACTTTTTAGGTGAAATTCAAAAGTATTTCCCTGCCCTTTGAGAAATTCTGGCTACTGTCTGACTTAATGACACTAACTCCAGTTATGAGTATTGCTATTCCCTGATGAGGATTGGTATCAATCCTTTCAGTTTATGACATCTTGTATGTACTTATTTTTTTATATAACATATCTGCTTGCACTCCAGAATTATTAAGAGCATTGAACTAGTTCCTTCCACATTGAGAGAACTTTCTCAATGAGCAAAGACATTTGTCTTATTTCTGTTAGTCTCTTCCAATTTAATAACAATGCAATTTTTGAACAAATTTAAAACAAAGAACAAACAAACAACAACAACAGAAAACCCACACCACTCTGAACAGCATCCTGAATGACAAAGAGGATGTATTTTTTTTTTCCACCTGTGGTTTATAAATCCTTTACATACATATGTGGTTTTCACAAAAATAGGACCAAGGACAAGGTTTTCAGAACAATATAAACGACCTGACTTTTCAAGACTGCTGAGCAGTCTTGATAAGACCTTCAAAAGGTCCCCTCAGGACAGATTTAGGAAATTTAGTCTGAACTTCTGAAAAAGTCAAGATCATTTACAGTTGTGAACTGAAGTCTAGTGAGGACATAAAAAAGATCACTACCTGCAGTGTCTGGCTCACCTTCTGTTTAACCATATACATATCTACCTTAGTTTTAAGTTCACAAGAATAATCATATTTGACACTGTAACTTACAGGAGCATCTCCACACTCAAATATAAATATACTGTTGTGAATCTTCATGACAAATGACATCTTTAATGTCTTATAACTGAAACATTCAAGTAGTTTCCTAATTTTAGGGTCTTACTTTTGAAAATCTTTGCCTACCTTTAAGAAACACTTGTCTGGTTTACTTCTGATTTATCCATTTAAAATATTTAAAGCCTTTTAACATCTTGAGTCTATCACAAAGGATGCAGAAAATCAAAACTGGAGAAGCAAATATGCCACTTTTTGATCAGATACAGGAAAGGACTAGAAACTGGATGTGGGGAGGACAACATCCCTGAAGAATCCTACAGCAAATAAGAAGAGTTAAGCGGAGACTTAGGATGACCTAATCACAGATAATTTAGAAATTCAGCTACAGGAATCACAGAATGCTACAGTAAATAATGGTACAGCACAGAATGCTAAAGCAAATAATTTAAGATAGTGCTTTACATCCCATTATCGGGTAACAAGTTCTCAGTGGAAGCTCATTCCACTTTAATGATTCCCATTCAGTTGGGAGCACCTTTTTGGACAACAGAATCTCTACAAGAAAACAAAAGAAAAATGCCACAAAACCAGAGCAAAACAATCAAAATGCACCTATAGGAATAGAAAATACCAAAAGCAGCCAGCTGTTAACAAGCATATTAAAACAAACAAACACACAGAACCTAAGAGGCTCAAAAACACATGAAGACAAGCCTGAGTACAAGACAAACAAATGTATTTTCAGGGTAAATTGATGCACTTCCGACTGGAGTTGGGATCTGGGATGCAGCAAGGACTATTCCAAATCCTGATTCTTAATCTGGTCTAAACACAAGTTGTCACTGAAAGGAGTAACACGAATCTGCCTCCCATTCTTTCTCAACCAGATGTTCTGAACCGTGCCACCTTACATAAATTCCAGAACCGTTCAATCTCAAACTGGATTTGTCCTCACTTATCCAAAGAAGTTGGTCATTTTCATATGGGTTTAATTTTTATAACATGACCACTGAACAATCTACTCTCAGGGAGGCAGAGAGGCCCACAAAAAGATGATGATGACCAGACAAGACTCCCTTTAATAGCACAGTCTAAAGAAGCTGCACCCTGAACCAAGAAGAGTATGAGAGAAACTGGGGCAAAACCATGCACCAATACCGTTACTGTGAAAGTAAAACAAAAGAAAAAATAAAGAATTATCATTCTGATGAGACTTGCATGTATAAAGAATAATGTAAAGTGGTTTTTAGAGACAAAATCCTTGCTATTGCTTTAGCTTCACATTGTTGAGAAATTAATACTGGCATAAAAGTGAAAAAAAAGAACATCAAGTAAATAAATGTAATAACTTGAAATCTTACTGGGAGAATGAAATTAAAATTTTACTGAAAAATATGATTTTTACTTGCCCTATTTCTAAACAAGAGATACTTGGAACAGGTTGTCCAGAGAGATAATGGAATTTCGGGCCTGCAAGGTGCTCAGGACTCCACTGGACACAGTCCTGACCTGGTATGACCTGCTCAGAGCAGGAGATCAGACCAGACCTCTGGAGGCTCCTTCTAACATAGAGTACGCTACAATTTCATGATGTTTTCAGCATATCAAAGTCATGTGACTGTATATATTGGTCAAGCTCCATAGCTGTGATTTTAAGAAAACCATTTAAGAGGGCTTGACTGCCTTCAGGTAAAAAATGAAATGGCTCTATAAAAATAAAGTAATAGATAATAATCTATTAAGTAATTGATTCAAAAGTGGCTTAATCTTTAAATAGCTAAGAATTCTCCAGGAATAGTGTTCCAAATGTTTATGAAATGTATGTTTAAAAAAAAAAAAAACTGCATAGAGAATATCAACTTAACACAGAATAATGTTTTAAGCTTTACCTGCTTAAAGGCAATAGTAAGAAAGCACCGAACAGAGATATAAAATTTACTGCCAGAGTACTCACTAGTAAAGCTGAATGGACAACCGGAGGGTTAGGATGGTCCAAGAACAGAATGAGCCCGGGCAGGCACCCCTGATCCTGGACGATGGCCCGTCTATTCAGCGGGTCGGCTGCCAGGTCACGCAGCTGGTTAACGACGGAGAGGGCGTCGGGCTCCTCGCTCATCGTGGAATTCATTTTGGCTGCACCGCGCGCACAAAATACCTGCTGAAAAGCGTCTGTGTTACTGACACCGCAATATTTGACAGCAAGTCAGATCAGAAATACAGATGCACTGATTTGTCATAGGTATAAAAACACACAAAATTCACAAGGATGTGGATATTAGAAAAAATAAACCTGGAAATCTAAGCTTCCTATCCAGAGACCACATAGGTTTGACTACTAATATTTTGACTTGTTTCCTCTATAAAGTTTTAGATCCTTTAGAATCTACATAACTTTATACCCTTTAGATCCTACACCCTTTATGGGACTATGTATAAATATATATATTTGTAAACACTGCTGACAAAGATTCCCGGGAAACATTTTTCTCATACCTAGCAACTTGTAAGACTAAAAATGCTGTTTTGTATAAATATGGGCAAAAATCACAATGTTTATTTTCATAAGACCTTTAGCAGCAACTTTAATTTCACCCAAAAAATGAACCAGAAGAGCAAGCTAAAGATTGTTGCATCAAGCATGGAAAGCACTATGTTCTACTCCTGAACTAAATAACAAACAATTAATGTAATGCATTCAAATGTTAAAAAAAAAAATCCCTCTTAACCCTTTTTCATAACTTCTTAGTAGGGCCTTCACAAGAAGCGACTCCAACCAGAGTCCAAGCAACAGGATCAGATTCGGACAAGATTATCTTGATAGTATCAGATTCCAGAGCTTTTTTAAGGAGGAATTACTACCTTAACAAGCAACAGGAGCACAAATTTACTCTACCAGGAAGATGTGAGAGCGCAGCGCAAAGAATCATTTTGCTTCAAAAGGTCAACTGTGCCTCTGAAACTACTATGCAAACTAGAATCCCAATATTGTTCATATCAACTGATGCAAGTAAAATTTTTTAAAGGTACATAAGTATGAATAAAGGTATATCATTAGTTTGCCCTCTCCTGTTTTTTTTCTGCAATGTAAAATTGTAATAATTTTTTGACAAAAACTGTTCTTTTAAAATCCTCTCTTTAATAAAAAAGCATTATTTAAACATTGTGTTGTTTTCCTACTGAAGAAAGGTCTCCCAACGAGATTAATCAGAATCACCAAAAACATTAAATAGACATCTACAAACTAGTAGTTTGTATTTATAGATAAACTAAAACAGATGAAAGCCAGAGAATGCTATAGAAACAGCTAGGGATGCACTAAGCTAATTTAAATGTGAAACCAAAAACAAGTCTTAAAAATAATACATATTATCAATGTTTTTAACACTTTTTTTAACACTTTTTAAACACTTTTAACACTTTCTTAAGAGCAAACCTCTATAGGTTTCATATTTTAATAGAAAAAAAAAAGAACGAAATGGTGGTACTCCCCACACCTCTGGTATTTTCTTCACAAGCGCCCTAACGCGAAAAGTAGATGCTAATGATTCATCCCCGAGTTACTTTTCTTGATTACAGCAAGTTCTAAGAGACTCAACAGGCAGCTGCGGCCCCATCCAGCAACCACAACTTCCTATTGCCAAGGTAAACACGAAGCCCCGTTTCACCCAACCTCTCCCCGCCGCGTCCCCTCGCACCCGCCTCCCTTTCATCAGGTTAGACCCCTTGAAGGAGGTTTCGAGGTTACGTACAGCCCGCGGGGCCCGGGAGCCCCGGCGCGGCCGGGTCCCCCAAGCGGGCCCTTCAGCCGCTC